CCCGCCCCTGGCAATCAATAATGCAGAGTGGGAACAGGAAAGATACATTGTAAAACCAGTGTGGGAAAAATTGTGCTGAAAATTATGAAGGAGGAGAGGAGAACTCTACATGGGACCGCAGTTTCCAATAGCAGTTTTTTGTAAAATAAGACTCTGGAATTGCTGGTTTTCTGAGTGCTTGTCCCATCAGAATACTTGTATTTTGCTTTGTTTGGAGGTTGTGGGAGCACTGCCCTCTAGGCACTACGCTTTTCTATCTCTTTGCTATTGTGGCTTTTCAGGTGTTGCCTGACTTAACCATGAAGAGCTAATTGTGGCTAAGGTACAGGGTGTCACTTCCACAAATAGGAGAGTTCTGTCCATCTGTGAGGACTGTGATCCAAAGGACACTTGCCCTGCTAGAAAGCAAGATTAGTTAATTCTCCTCCCCTGCACCTCCAGGGCCACATCCCATAATGTTCTGCAGAGTGGAAACAGGCTTTTTGAGCACAAAAAGTGCGGCTGTGGATCAGAGGAATGAATGCATAAAGAGCACCTCTTTTTGCTTCCTCTACCAAGTGAGTCCTCTGGTGACATTCACACAGAGCTGGATCCAGGCCATTCTGTTTTGAGTGATGATGTACAAATATAAATAGACACACTGAAAGAAATCAAAGCAAGGTTTTGAAAGGTATAAGACACTTTCTGATACATGGGATATTGGAGGAGGACTGTAAAATTTCTTTCTTTGTTACCTATCATCTGTGAAATATCAGTTTCCCACTCCCTTACCCAGACCCTTCCATGAACTTACGATTTCTTAATGGCCATGGAGACATGAACTTGCTGTCTCAAACACTTTTTTCATAATATAGCAGTCTTTAATGATAAATGTGCAGGCTTTTCAGGATATAAGTTTGTCTGTCAGTCTGCAATCGAACAAAATGTATTTGTATCTCAAAGGAATCTGGGTTTTGGAACTTCTGTCTAGAAAGAAATGAAATAAATCATCAGGAAAAGGGCAGAATTGCTTAGCTTGGGAATAATGCTAGTCTTCTTCAAAAGAATAGAGTATGCACTGCTCAAGAGAGACAGTGGAGAATTATAGGGTTAGTTATGATGGAGAGAGAAAATTTCTCCAGAGGGAACAGCTACAGGATGGTGAAAGTGGGAGTGGACGAAGGAGGGAGGACAGAAACTGAGAATGTGGGTGCTAGGAGAAGCAGGATATGAATCCTTTTAGTGAGAAAATTACTTTTAAGTTTGATAAATTCAGGGGGAAAGAAGTGGCACAATTAGAGCTGAAGATTTGCCTGCAAGGGGATGAACGTATTTCTGTTTTTCTGGTAAAGGAAAGCTTTCTTTTAGTGTGTTCTTTGCCTGGGGAATGCATTTTCTTGGAAGGTAATTCCAGCACCAAGAGCATTGGGAAACTTGTTCTGACAAGGCTTTCAGCCCAAGAGCAGAACTGTCTTTGTCAGAATGCTTCCTCCAGCCACTTGGCTCTGTGTCTGTGCTGCTGCAAAGGAACCGTCCTTTTGCCAGGGAAAGAGATGTGTCAGGGATGATCAGGTGACAGGAAGTTCTGTTGTTTCCTGGGTAGACTACATGATGTGCCACCACTTCTGATACGGCACAGGACTGCTTTTCAGCCCAACCGGAAAACAAGCAATTGCTTTCAAATCTATGAAAAGAGAGGACATCATCTTTCTTTGAATGAATAATACATGTGTCTGGCTTCATGCCAGATCTGTGAACTCTTTGGAAGTTTTGAGAAGTGTGAAGTTTGCTGATGTGGATCATAGCCAAGCATAGGTAATATGCATTCTGATAATGAGTGCTCATCTTTTGAAAATGAAGTTTCTGTGTGCACCCTGGAGTTTGCACCCTCTCAGGCTTACTGTATATACTGGTGTAAAAGACAAGGTCGCTATATTGGGCTGCTTTTCTGGTGTTTGTCATGTCGGGTGTATAATATGACCCCCAATTTTTTGCTTTGCTATTTTTGGTTTCAAGGGGCTTCTAATATGCCAATATATACAGGTATTTGTCAGCCAGAGGCTTCTGGACTCTCGTGACATCAAGTTACTCTAATAGGAACATTACCTCTCCGATTTCACTCAAGCTCACATTTGTCTTGTATACACCTGGCCTCATATGTGTGTGATCATGTGTGTGTCTAGAGAAAGCTTTGTAACGTGATGTGATAGCTTTTTCTTGACCCTAAACCATGGATTGCTGCAAAATAAGAAAATACAATGCTTGGTCTGTCTGTCTGTCCATCTGTCTATACATACATACATACATACATACATACATACATACATACATACATACATACCACCCTTAGCTAAAGCTTTTGGAGCCGTTTAGGAGGGCAATGGCAGCCCGCAAGGGGGCTGGCTGGGGTCGTTTGGGGAGGACAGCTGATGCCAGTGCAGCAGTTGCAGGGGGAGGTGGAGCTCCTGAGAGGGAGGAGACCCGTGTGGGCAGCACCGTGCCTCTCCACAGACAGCCGCAAGGGGAGCTCCCCCCGTCCTGGCCACTGCTGCAGCCGGCCTGGAATGGTGCTCCATCCCCAGCAAGGGCGGGAGGGGGCCTGCGGCCGTGCACAAGGCTCACAGCACAAGGCAGCACATCCCCAGAGCAGGCCTGCCAGGTTTTGTTTTAAGCTAAAGGTTCCTCAAAATGCAAAAGAGGTCATTGTAAGGCAGCTAGAAGGTTTGATGTTACTGAGAAGATGGTTTGAGGTTGAAGGAAGAATGAAGACAAACTAAGGGAAGTATAAGATGACCCCCAATTTTTCTTTGCTGTTTTTGGTTTCAAGAGTTGCCTTATATACCGATATATATGGTAAATACTCAGTGCTCCACTTTTTATACTAGGCAATGGCGATGGGAACCAGAACTAAGCCTTTTCTCTTAACTGTGTGGCAGTGCAGTCTAGACTCTTCTGTACGGGAAAATCCTAAAGCAGCAACAACAGAACTATGGTACCTACATGGGGAATACACTGATACATTTTCTTTATCTGGGCCAGTTCCTAAAAGAAACGTGTAGTGATCCTTAAGTGAATGTTTACACTTCCAACAAATATCCTGTAATTGCACTATGTTAGGCACCTATTAATCTGATGGGGCTTCCATACTCAGAAAGTTCTTTATATTAATCTGCCTTTAAAATGCTAAACAACTTGTGACACACACCCTTTGAGATCATTGGCTTCTCTTTGTCCTATGATTATTTTGATACTCTTCTGAAAGTAGTAAGTCAGTAGTGTCTGTGTGCCAGGGACATTCAGTGAGGATGTGTGAAACCTCTTCCTCTTGATGGTGGGCATGTCGTGAGTGCAGCCGGCTGGTGCCGGAGGTCAGACTAGATGGCCCAGGAGACCCCTTCTGACTCGCTCTGTTTCTATGTTTCTGTGTATCCCAATCTCAATAAGCAATGATGACATTTTTCCTTGACTAAGAGGTTCAGTTCACACATGCCAAGCAATGCTTTGCTGCTACTGGAGCAAGTCTTCTGCATGTGTTCTTTCCCCGCTCTTCGGGTGTTCCAAGTAATTACTCTGAAGTTGTAGGAAACCTGTTCTTTGCTAAGAGCTGAACAAACCAACTATGCTTTGGCAGACCTGGTTTACAATCCTATTTTAAAGGGAAAGCCAAAACCATAGTTTGCCAATTTGAATGTTGGGAAATAAAGTGTTGCGAAGGGCAGAGGAGAAAAAGGTGTGTAAGCACAAAGCCCCAAGCCATATAAGATGCTTCTAGGGTTGCTTTGCTGATCCGAGAGAGAGACTCTACCATAAAGCTTACTATAGCCCACCTCTAGGTAACACATAAACAGATAGCAACAGATAGATGGAATAAAGTAAATTATTCCATATTGTAGGTTCAGAGAAAGTTATGGGGCACAGCTATGATTGACTGAAACACATGCTTGGAACAAAAAGGGAATCAAAAGCATTTTAGTCAAACTTCTGTGGTAAAGCAAGCTGATTACCCTTCAGCATCACAGGAATGCAGCCCCAGCATAGGTGCATTGCAAAAGAATGTTGGATTTCTTCTTTCAGGGCGTGTGTCCGTTTCTTTGAATTGTGCACTGTAGGTTTCCAGACCATTGGCATCTTTTTAATACCTTCTACAGGTACCTAATGGTTCAGAAGGAATGTTTCTGTACATAAATGGGATATGAGTTAAATCCTTGTGGTTGAGTCATATAAAAACAACAGCCAACTACCATGGGACAAAAACTGGAAGATGTCAGCTGCCCTGGTATGCACAATAAAGCTGTGAGCATAGCAAAAAATGCCTGCAGTGTTTGCAGAGTAAATTCATTCTTTTTACCAGAAGTACTTTTTTTTTTACAAAGAAGTGAACAAAAAAGCAATATAGGCGCATGAAATATGGAGCAGGAGCTGGAGAGAAAGGGGAAGAAAGGGAAACCAGGTATAAATAGCAGACGTACATCCTGTTTTTTTGCAGTAGGGTTTTGTCTAAGACTATCAATCAACTTTTCACCACTTCCTGCAACAGCAGGTCTGCTATAAATCCTGCCGTAACTGACTGGGTTTCATTTCCTCTGCCAAACCCTGCTAACCTGCGAGGCATGACACAATGACACCAGAGCGAGCAGCTGATAATGTAATACACAATTCCTGTGAGGCGAAAGTTAAAGTGCTTGTTCTCTCAGTTGAATGATTTTAAAGATCTTTATATTCTAGTTCCCAGGGGGGATAATTACTCAGTATAACACACAGAGCATTTTTTTAGTCTCCTAAAGGAATTTTATTTAAAAGCGTATGGAAAGGATAGGGACAATGGGGTTGTTTTTTTTTAACACTCTCACCCCTTTCTAAATTGCGTTGGTTCCAGAAAGCTATGCAACATCTAAAAAACGTGTCCCAGCGGAATGTTGTATTTCAACCCCAATTATTGGACTATTCAGGGAAAGATGGTAGCTCAGCTGAGCAGCACATCTATGAGGTGCCGGTTCAAATCTTTCTGCTCTGACTTACAGAAGCGGAGGCAGCAGGGCGAAGACACCATGGTACCTGAAATCCTGGAAAGCTACCATGAGATGGCTTTGCCTGTCCTCAACAGCTGAATGGGCTGGTCTGAACTTGCATAAGGCAGATCTTTATGCTCTGAAAAGTCCAAAATGGTAATTCAGTTTAAAAGCATGCAAACGGTATATGTATGCTTCCTAACTTTTATGTTCTTTATATGTTAACAATTTATTAATGTTCAATCTAAAATTTGACCAAAACAAAACTACATCTAAAATGGAAATATATAAAATTAAGCATACAATTAAAATTAGAATAATTCTTTAAAATACTGTACCCATCATTACCAGGATCAAAGGATGCATGTTACAGATTTTTTTTTTAAAAGCCTCATTCAAACAATGGATGCTTCCTAACTTTTAAGGAAATGACACAGACACACAAGCTTACAGTGAAGTATCCTTTAATCCAAGTGTTGTAGATTAGTTACCATGCCATGGTTAATTAGCTGCTGAAGCCATAAATTATTGTACTTAATAATTCCCATTAATTTCTAATTGAACAAGCAAGCTGCCCTTCATTTGAGGAAGGGAGTTGATGAGAAGGAGCTGTTTCTTTCACACATCGGCTCATGTATGCGGCTCATCACACACAAATGTGCCATTTGTTCAGTGCTGCAGATCTCCTGACATGGGAGGAAGCTGATCATGGAAGGCCATGTACTTTCTTCCTGAATCTGTTGGATAGGCGACCGTTCCGTTTTATTCTAAATTGAACAGCTGTTGCATTTGTTTGTTTATAAGGGGGCCTTTTAGGAGAAGCCCTAGTATTTTTGCTCAGAATAATAGTAAATGCATGTTTAAAAGCCACTGTGACCAAAAGTAAACAGGGAAGAAATGGAGTGGGGGTTCATGAAAGACCAAGTGTTCTCAAAAATGCAGGTATCATTGGCCCAGTGCTCCTTTAGAGGCACTTGAATGGCACTGAGCACACTAGAGAACATGGTGGTCTACCCTTCAGGAGTGCTGAAGAGGTTTCATTGGAAATGCAACTGGCCAATACAATATTTAGTTCTGTACACCCTTTGGATTCCATTCCACCTCCTTTTTTCTCCATGTTCCTTTGGTTTCTCCAAACCCTTAAACAGCCACATTTGTCATTGAGTTACTGCTTTTACCCAGCAATGACCATTGGCACAGCTTATTAGGCAAAACAGCCAGGACACGGTGTGGTACAGAAGGGTTCCAGACACCGGCCTGGGCATGAGGAGGACCTCGCCCATCATTGCTTGAGCAATTCAGGCTTATCTTGGTGTTATTAGCAAACGTGGCCACCTCCCTGTTCAGCCCTAACTTAAGCTTCTTGATGAACCAGTTGCAAAGCACAACTCCCAAGGCAGATCCTTATGGGGGACCTGCTCTGTACATCCCTCCATTGTGAGAACTGCCCACTTGTTCTTCTCTGTGCTTCCTGTTGTGTAGTCAGTTGCCCATCCTCAGAGGATCGTTCCGTCAGAGGAGCCCCACACACTCTTCTCCGCTGCCCAGCTGATCAGCCTTCTGCCTGATAGCAGCAGCTGATACTGGAGACAGGGACACACACCTATACAGTATCTTGTTTGAGATAACTGAGGAGGGTGGAGGGGCTGTAACCTCCCTTACTATGATCCTGACGCAGCTAAGACCACCATTTCTGCAGCAGACTTGCCAAAAACCTCTCAGTGGTTAAGAAAAAAGCACTAACCTTCTCTTTCTGTGTTCCCAGTCACTGGGGCAGGAGGGTACTTTTCCTTGCTGATGGTTTATGTGGCTATGAGTGTGGAGGAATGTATCTCTGTGAGTGTATGAGAAGAGGGAAGGGTGTGTGTGTACAGGTGGCTCCACCTGTCCTGACTCACTCACCTCCAACCCAGCCTGTCAACTGGTATGATTCTCCACCTGGAAAAGATTGTCCAGCACTTTCTTATCCCATGGCTTAGTAGCTCAGTCTTAGTAGCTCAGGAATTAATTAAAAAACAGAAGCGCAAGTGGAGCACACAATCAATTTGTGGATATTCTGGAAGTTTGGATAATCTTGGGTGGATATCCTCATCATGACTTAGTTATACATTTGTCCTCCTTAAAGTTGGTTGGTTGAAACATCAAAGCACTTGTGTTAGTCCAGCAAAGTATATTAACATCTCTTGTGTGTTCTGTCTCCCCACCACCCCCTTTTTGTCAAAAAGGTCAAAGAAATTAGCAGCCCTTGCCGAATGTGTGCAGAAAGCCAAGCTGAGTAAGGCTGAATTGGGTTTTGAACTAGACGAGCTGGAAGCAGCGGCGCTTCTTGTTCAAGAGGAAGAAAAGGAGTTAAAAGCCACTGGCGCAGACGTTTCTCAGCAGCAGCTGCCTCCCTCCGAAGGCGAGGCGAGTGACTCTGAAGACTCAAGCAGCACTTCATCATATGAGACAGGAGACTCGGATTCAGATGAACAAGAGTCCTCAGCCAGTGAAGATGGGAAAATAAATCCTTTGCAAAGCACACTCCAAGAGGAGAGGACAGCCCCGCTTATTGACTGTAATGGATTAAGGCGAGACACAGGCACTTTGACGTTAGATGTTAGTAATGAAAAATCAAAGGCGTCTGCACAATCTACATCTGTTCCCGGGAAACTGATTGAGGAATTAGGAAAGCAAATGCAGACTGCAATTAGGCTTACGGAGCAGCCTGAAGGTTTGCCTTCTGCGAATGGTGGCGGTGGCACTTCAGAAGAGATGGGAACAAGCTGCCTCACTCAGCCGCAAGGACCTTCACCAGATCCTCACGAAAAGAGATGTTTCCTGGAGGTGACTCCAGAGCCCTCCACCCTTCTTTTTCTTGGCACAACAAGTGAAGCTCCTTAAGTCATTGTAAATGGGGTAGGCGGGGGTGGGGGGATTGATTTTGAGAGACTTTTTGTTAGGGTTCATTTTATCACTCAGATGTCACTTGAGCAAATAATAAATGGAGACAGGCAATTAAAAATTTTGACTTTCCATCTTTCTTTGCATTTACAATCAAGAGACTTTGTGAAAGATGGTAGACAAAATTTAATCGAATCTCACTTGGTATGTCACTGTTCTACTGTAAAATAGTCAAATATTGGTGCCTATATATCAGAAGTGTCTGTAATCTTGAGTTATATGTTGAAGTGGCATCATTTATCACAGAGTATAATCAAACTTTGGTAAAGGTTGCTGGTTTATATTCTGTAATTGCTTACTCAGAATGTTTATATTTAAATGTCTCTGGTTTTAAATGCCAATTTGCTTCTCAGCTTCTGAAATGTCACTGTGCATTATGGTTCTGTTTGTTACTTTTAGAGGTATCCAGTGTACCTACTAGGTCTTTTAGACTCCAGGCACTGGTGTCCAGTAATACCAGTTATCTAAAATATGCAGTGCTTGTGCAAGCAGATCCAGTGTCTTTTTTACTTGGAGCTAAATCCTAATGTGTTCTGTGAGCTCTCAGCCTGGTAGGGATGGGGAGGAATCCAGTTAGCATTTTAAGGAGAACTTACCTAATTCATGCTTCTCAAACCTAATACCTGAACCAAAATAAAAGTCATCCTTTTATAATCACAGATCTGAATGTTGGCATGCTGTTCTATCAGAAATGCATAAATAGAGGGAATATTTTAAAAGTATCATATTAGGGAAATCTGCATGCAAAAATTCATATATTTGTCAAAATCGCACACACAAAAATGTGGTTATTGGAAGGAGCAACCATGAAAGTGCATCTGAACGTCCTTGTTGACTTTTAAAAAATAGCTGCAAACTGATGTGGATGGAGTAAAGTTAAACTGGGAAGAATTTGAAATTGGCAAGCTTAAATTAACAGGTTTGTCCATCCCTGTGGTCAGGTAAGTGCATGGGCTAGCATCAACCTTGTTTGTAAAATATGGCTGTGCTTGGGGAGATGTAAATGGAATGGTGAAAACACAGTTTTGCTACAAGCAGGAATCTAGAATTTTGTGTTATCAGATTCTAACTATGCTGCTAGCATGTGGCTGAGATGGAAGAAAGGTGGGTTAGTGGTTAGAGTACAGGTGCATAAAACAGGAAAGCTCATTTAGGTGGCTCACCAAACGATGCACCATAATTCAACAACACAGCTCATTCTATAGGAATTTTTCTGTCTTTTAAACTGTACCTGGCTGCTAAATTAGCTTAGTCTCATTTCTTACTAGTTAAGCATTATATGTTAGCAGTAGGCAGTGCAAGTTGGGTGTCTAATTTAACATCCTAAACATTTTGCAGAATACTTCTATTTTTAAAAGAAAAATCTAATGTGTTTCTACCATGGTTAGCTGAGACATACTAAGCTATGCAGACAGTGCAATGGACAGAAACATTTCTTAAAGTACCCAATCTGGAAATAAAAATGGGAATAGATAATATAGACAACCAAAGCATTGTGATACTTATGGTACAAGAGATAAAGTGCCCCATTTTTCACTCTTGCTCCTGCATTTTGTGCCTGGCACTGAGGAGGAAGCGTGCTTCTCTCTTCTCTGAACAGCTGTCTCTCTCTCTCTCTCTCTCTCTCTCTCTCTCTCTCTCTCTCTCTCTCTGGAGACTGAAAACTTCTCTATGAGTGAAATCAGTCTCTTTTCTGTGTGTCCAGAGCATTCTGTGTGTCTTTCCTCTTATGGAGGGAAAATTTTTACTTCTGACTTTGATTTTAGTCTGACTTTGTCTAGCATATTTAGAGCTTGCCCTTTCCACTTCTGCTTTCCTCCTTTCTATTCCAATACTCAAAGAAAATTTGGCTTTCTCTTTAAGTGTTAGCAATAGATAAAACTTGTGAGAGCTCCCATGTAGTTGTATCCATCACTAAAGTGAAGGATGAACTGAGCTATGCTTTGAATGTGATGCAAGACTGCTTTCAAAAATGGAATCCTATATTGAGGGAATTTCCCCACAGTAATTAGTATTTAATCGCTTTTTAATGAGCTCTTGTCAGTAGCCCAGAGAGCTTTAGCTATTGGGCAGTATAGAAATGTAGTAGCAGCAGCAGCAGCAGCAGCCATAGCCACACATAAACCTGTACTGTGATGTCACATGCATTTCTCAAATCCTGCCAATGGCACAGGGCTGTGAAGATGTCACAACACAGGTAATTGCACCTAAGCATTCTGGGAAGCAGGGGACTTCCACCTAAGATTCAGTTTCCAGTGCCATTCCCATAATGGCCACAGCATGTATTTCTGCCTTCTGAGGTCATCAAGAAAGAAGAGATGATTCATGATTCTAAGTGCTAAGCCAATTCAGTATGCCACATTTGTCCAGTCTCATTCTTGGAGGTCTTTGAGCCTGCTCTTCTTGCACCAAGCATTTGAACTATCTGGCTTTTTGCATCTACCCTGTCATAGCTCTGGTCTGTTAGACCATTTTTTTATGTGCCAGATTAACATGCAAGAGAGTCTGGCTATGCTGTTTTCACCGGTAAAAGCCAACAGGGGAATGACAAACCTGTACAAAATTGGTGGTTGCAGAATTAAAGTGCAGATGGTAGGGTAGATGCTGTTAACTATTATGTATGTACGTATTTATTTTTTAAAAAACTTTTATATTATAGATAGATAGATAGATAGATAGATAGATACTGTTCTTTAACAAAAGCTCTCACTAGCCAACATAGCCCCACTATTCTGGTGCACCAAGATTTAAGAAAGATGCAGAATAATTGGAAAGGGTTCAGAGGAGAGCAACAAAAATAATCCAGGGTTTGGAAACACTGCCCTATGAGGAGAGACTGAGAGAATTGGGCATGTTCACTTGAGAAAACTGAGGGGGGACATGGTATCCCTCTGTAAGTACCTCAAAGGCTGTCACCAAGGGGAAGGTCAAGATCTCTTCTCACTGATACCAGAGTGTAAGACACGGAATAACCAATTCAAGCTGTGATAACTCAGATTCAGGCTAGATATCAGGAAATGATTCCTCACTGTCAGAGCAATACGACAGTGGAACCAGCTGCCTAGAGAGGTGGTGGGCTCTCCTCCACTAGAGACGTTCAAAAAGAAACTGGACAGCCATCTGAGTGGGATGGTGTAAATTGGTGTCCTGCAACAGCAGGGGGTTGGTCCCCTTTCAACTCTACTATTCTGTGATTCTATTTTGCCTGTTGCTGTTGGAAAGTACTCTCCTTCCTGTCATCATCAAACTTGCAAACAGGAGTGGGAAACTTGTAGGCAAACATCTAGAATGCCACAATTTCCATAATCCCATATTATTGGCTATAATGGCTAGGTCCACAAGTTGCCTACCCCTTTTCTAGAGTAAACTTTATTTTATTAGTTAGGGTGCATTGTATTTTAGAACACTCCTATATCATGCATATCTGAAATCGCTACAGATCACAGCAGTGGAGGTGAGATGCACATCTCTAAACCTGCAAGTCCCTGGTACATATTCCCTGAACACCTGTGTGTGTTACCTGTGGAGAAACACAGCACTGTGGCCTATGCATAAAGCATGAAGCAGCTCTCTTCTAAAGCACCTGACTTCTGTGTGCCACACCTCATTATACGAGGGCAACATTTTTATATGAAGAGGCATTTTTTGTCTGGAAATCTATCTCACTGAAGACTTGTCAAGACCTTCATATCCCCTGAAAACTTTGTAGGATCTTTTCTGTTTGAGTTCACTTTGGGAAGCCCAGGTTCAGTCAGTTGAAGGGAATAATTTTTATCTCATGTTAGCAAGTCTGAACTGAACCAGTAGCTCTGTAATTGTCCACCCCAAATCTAAGCAATGTAGTGATCAGTATTCACAGAAATAAACAAATCCTCCCAGCTTGCATTGAAAATGGCTGACTCGTACGAGGAGGTGCATCGTTACCCACTGTGGAATGTACTGGGGCTTATTTCATAATGGAGGGCAGGGCTATCAATGACTTCTAGTTGATACTGGGGGATATGAGAGGAGGGGGTGTTGCACTGGTGGGCTTCCTACAGGCAGCTAATTGGCCTCTTATGAGCAGCACAACACTGAACTAGCTACAACTTTGGTCTGATTCAGCAGTGTGTCTATATGCTAGTACAAATACTTAAGAGTTTTCAGTTGCTCCTTACATGGCTTGAGTTCACATACAGTGAACTGAAATAAGCACCCAAAGCAAAACCGTGACAGAGTTTGTCTCACCCTTAGTGATTTGTAAGCATCACAGCTGATCCACACAACTAATTCACAAACACATTTGATCTCTGCAGAAAATAAAAACCTTGTTCAAACTGAAAGGAAGCCCCAGAATAAATCAAATGGATCAGTCAGGAGTTATCAGACTGGTAAGGTTTTCTACCATCTGCACGTCAGTGTAAAAGTGGAAAGAGAGTGCTTGTTTTCAGTGTGCCTGATTATCTACCTCTTAAACTTTTTGAGTAAGGGAGTTCATGACTGAAGTGAAATGTTGTAATCAAAGCCTTCTGGTGTAAAGTGTCCTGCAAGAGTAATGCAGCAGATTGGCCAAAGCTTGGCTTTCTCCTCCACCTTCCATCTTCTGTGTCCTCTCCCTGAAAGATATGTACAGCTGAGCTTATATCAAATGAAGGAAACACTGATGAGTCTTTCTTTACTACAATATATGATGAATGTAGCAAAGAGATGGATTCATCCCTCTGGAGTGAGTGGGCTCAGCAGCCTGCCACTTCTGACACAGCTATTGTCAATGCCGGTGTCTCGAGCAAGGCTGGGGAAAGCAAACAGGGAAATGCTTGTCAGACAGATAAATGGCTTTGCTGTTTAGAGCTGTCCAAGGATGCTGTTTGTTTCTGAGATAAGGCAGGATGCTCTCCAAAGCAGCAAAAAGATAAGATGAAAATTACTATGAATGTGGAATTGTGTCATTATTTGGATGCGTTGCCATCTGGGGGGAAAAGAATGAGCACTCCTGGAAGCTTGAATATGTTTCTATATAAATATTCTAATTGGCACCCCATTGCCATGTTGATATCATGAATCCTGCACCCTGTAGGTATGCTGAAGTCTCTGTGTGCTTCCTTCCTTGCCTTCAATTAAAATGGCAGCTCACTTGCTCATTCATTCATTGCATTTCTGTACCACCCAGCAGCCAAAGCTGTCTGGGTGCTTTACAAAGTCTCATATCTGAAAAATATAGTGTAATGTACTTACTTTGTAGAGAGCCAGCATGTCATTTCAGTTAGCATTTTGGACTGGACTCAGGAGTTCTTCGTCGTGGCCTCTGTGCATCACACATATGGGTGCTGCGCCTGCGCAGTGCCTAGGCCGGAAGATTAGAAAGCTAACGGTTTTTGGAGAGAAAACTCCATTCCCCTCCCCCTCAGTGGTATAAATAGGGTGGAGTATCCGCCATTTTACTCAGTCTTTGCGACTGCCATTCGCTGTGCCTCGTGCCTGTTCATCTCTCACTGCTCATTTTACACTTTATATATCTTGTCTTTATCGTCTTCTTCTACTCCAAGTTTTTTCTCTTAACCCGTTTTTTCTTCAAACCTTTCGTTCCTATAATCAATCAATCAATCAATCAATCAATCTCTCTCTCTCTCTCTCTCTCTCTCTCTCTCTCTCTCCCTCTGCACTATCTTCTCCTTGCTTT